CCCACATAACACCGAAGCACAAACAGCCGGGCATGGTTCTGGCAGCCCCCTCCCAAAGTCCCCCATGCTGCCATCTCCCTGGCTCTTCCCTGGCAGCTCCCTCACCACCTTGCCCCTCTTCTTGCTTGACATAAGGGAGTCCACCAACCCCTGCAGCTTCTCATAGCGCTGCAGAAGCTTCCCCAAACGCGTGCTGACGTTGCTGCTGCAGGTGGGGCATGCGGCCTCCTCCTGCCCCGTGCTCTCCATCACGCTCAGCTCTTCCAGCTGCAGAAGGGGAAGAGGAATCACCTCTGAGATGGGACACATGCAACCAACAATCCCAGGAGTCGTGGGGGCTCCATGGCCCCAGCAAGCCAGGGGATGTGCCTGGGAACCCCACCAGGACCACCTCACCGAACCAGCGGGTGGTGAGAGCTCCCCCCACACCTCACCTGCTCCCGCTCCTCCTCGCCCGTCTGGGCCACCAACTGATCCAGTGCAGCCTTGCTTATTTGCTGCTTCTCTGCCAGATCCTTCCTGTCCCACTTTACCTCCTGCGGTGTGGACCTGGCCAGCGAGACAGGGACAGAGGTAGGCTTAGTCTTCAGAAGCTTCATTGCTCAGGGGGCATCCGTCACCCCCCATCATGGGATGCTCCCAGCCCTCCTGGGCTCCCTTGCAGCCCCACAGGGTACGAAACCCTCTCCTGTCCTTTTACCCCAATGGCAGGCTGCGTTGGTTGCTGAGGTCCATTTGCCAGCTGGCTCTGGCTGCCTCCAGTTTGCCAAGGGCACTCTCCAGCTTCCTGATCTGGGAACGGCAGTGGGGGCAGAGTCAGGGCATGGCCCCTGTGCCATCCCAGCACAGGGGCTCTCCAGCTGCCTCCTCCGTGCCCAACTCTCCCAGCATCCCTGCATCTCCCTCGGGGACTCCTTACCTTTCCCTTCTCGCCCTGCAGGTCCCTGGCCACGCCCTGCAGGTCCCTGGACAAGCCCTGCAGGTCACTGGCCAGGCCCTGCAGGGATGGCACCGGGGCCTGGAGGTCACCCAGCGTGTTGGCAACGCTCTCCTGGCCTAGAAGAACGTGGTACAAGGGGACACACTGTCAGTGAAGGGGTCTCACTCTACGGGCCAGGCTCTGAGCACAACGAGCTCCAGACGCAGCATTTCCAGCACCCCCCACAAGCCTCCCAGAGCTCCCACCTCTCTCCTGGAGGAGCAGGCGCAGCTTCTCCAGTTCAGTCGCGTCCAATTTGGTGGCTTCTAGCTGGGCCACCTGCTCCTTCAGGGGAGCACAGAGGTGTCTGAGCTCCCCAATCTGCTTGAGAGCCTCCACCGTCTCCACGTAGCAATTGTAGGCGTTGTGGTAGGCACTGCTGGAGCGCGAGGGCAAGGCCAGCTCTTGCAAGTGGGACGTGGCCCTGGGATCAGTGTCGAGCGGGATCTCGAATCCCTGGGCTGTCGGCAAGAGAGTCCCTGCTGCCAGGGGGCCTGCCTCGTGAAGCTGTGTGCCGAGCCGCTCCCCTGAGGTGGTGGTCTGAGGGACGGTGGGCTCTGGCTGCATCCCCAGGGTGGTGGTCTGGGTGCCCGTGGACTCTGGCTGGGTTGGCTGCGTCCCCAAGCTGCTGGTCTGTGCGTCCTGACACACTGTCTGCATCATCGCTGTGGTGCTAGCGTTCCTCCTCTGATCTGAGGGAACGCTTGCCTGCTGCTTAGGGGCCGTTAGAGCTGTCCCTGGATCCTTCAGCTCCACCGAGCTGTCTCTAGATCCCAGCACTGAGCTTGCCCCATGTGGGCTGTCCATATCTGAAGTGGGAGGCTTGGTGGTGGCAGACTGGTCTCCTTCTTGTTCTCCTCTGGGTCTTCCTCCATCTCTTCCTTGGTCTCCTTTGCTGCCCACCAGGCAATCCTCCAGCACATCCCAGTGCACCATGTTGGTCACTGTAGAGAGCCTGACAGCAGAATGGCTGCAGGACAAAGGCCACGAAACTGTGCAACTAGTCAAGATCTAGGCCGAAGAACACAGCAGCAACTGTGTGGTCAATGGTTGCTCAAGGACAGGATGTATGCTTGCTGAGATAGCGCAACGGTAACGCTTGAGCAAGAGTGAAACATATTGAAACAAGAAGCGGTCGCGGTTATTTAGAAACCCCTGTGTTAGCACAAACTAACCAATGATTTTATTGTACCCTAGCAGAAATTGTATCTAACACTGAGACTATAAAAATGGCTGTATTTTGCTAAATAAACGAGACTTGCTGACCATGATAGCATGAGGCTTGTCTCCCGCGACTCCGACATTTGGCGCCCGAACAGGGACCAAGGAAGGGGCCGTCCCTTTCAAGAGTTGCGGAGGGTGCAGGTCTCGACATAAAGACGGCTTCTGCAGGACAGCAGTGGCACATCGGTGGACTGCGTGATCTCTGCTTTGGCCCGGAGTGCAGCATCGGCTGGCTCTGCTGCTACGCGCTGCCGACGCCTGGAGGGTGCAACGGATCCGGTAAATATGGACAGGCAAGCGGCGTATGATCTTTTTACTGCCTTCCTCCGTCGTCGGGGGCTAAAAGGCTTAGACTTTGATAAGGACCTCCCTGCCCTTCTTTCTCATGCCCGGTCTCTCGGTATTTTTAGTGACCCCCACTCTGTTCACCAGTTATCGGAATGGCGTCGCCACGGCGATAAATTATGGGATCTTACATTAGATGATGATAAAACTGCTAAAAAGTTATCCAAATTGTGGCGTTTGATACATAACGAACTCCTGATGGTACAGGCAGAGAAACGTGCGGCTGAAAGTGCCCGTTTGGCACAAGATCAGAATCGTAACTATGATCCTTCTGCCCCTAACCCGCCCGCGCGTATCGATCTGCGGGAAGATATCTGCCGGCGGGCTGCAACAGCAAACGAGCCAGGCAAAGATAACCCTTTTGATCCCGGAATAATCGACCCTGACAGAGAACCCCACCTCTACCCCCCTGACCCGCATGATATGTGGAAAAACATTAAAAAACAAGCGGAAAATCACGGTGCTGTGAGCCTGCCCCACAACCTGAATGCTCCACATCCCGTCCGTCACGAGGCGAACCGGGGGCTGGACGGCGGGGAGGAAAACGGCGCTCCCGCGGGAGCCGAACGGAGGCTGCGGCGGGGGCTCCCCGCCGACCGAGGGGCTGCACCCGGTAGCAGCGGTGGGATAAGGAGCTGCGGAGCACGGGCGCGCCACCTCCACCTCCCTGATGCCGCGACCTCACTCACTCGCCCGGCGGCGGCAGCAGCAGGCTCCGGCGGGCTCCCCCCATTGCCTGCCCGCGGGCAGAAGGCTCTGATACTCGCCCGCCCCTCGCCTTTCTGTGCTCCGGCAGGCGCGGGGTGCGCGGCGGTGCGGGGTCCACTCCTCCCGGTGAGAGGCGGTAAGAAACCCAGGAAACCTTAGTTATAGAATGGTTAACCCCACAACTGCAGCAGCGAAAATCAATCACAAAGAAATTGGAACGACTAGCGGCCCTGATACGTAAAGGCAGGCTACGAACTATTGAAATTAGTGGGAAAGAACCTGAAACCATTTACTTGCCCATGGAACATTCTGATTTAGACTGGTTTCTCCTCAATGATAATGACTTAGCTCTTGCTTTGCTGAATGCTCCTTGTAAGGTGCTTACATCAAAAATTAAACCTAGCACTCTGGCATGGCTTGGTCACTGGCGATGGATTGTTAAACCCCTTAGAAGCGAATCACCTATTTTAAAAGCTATTACAGTTTTTACTGACGCAGGAAAAAGATCCCGAAGAGCAGCAGCTACATGGAAGCAAGGAAATACTTGGCATCATCATGTTCTCGACGCCACACCTGAGGACAATCTTCAAACCCTCGAACTCTTGGCTGTTATTTGGGCCCTTCATACGTTCCAGCAGCCTCTTAATGTTATCTCTGACTCTTTATATGTTGTGACAGTAGCCTCTCGTATTGAGGATGCTACAATTAAGGATGTTACAAATCCTAGGCTTGGGGAACTCTTTTTATCCCTTAAAAGGGTGATACGTGCCAGAACTTATCCTTATTCCATACTTCACATTAGAAGTCATAAGTGGGATATGGGATTAGGAGAAGGAAATGCAAGAGCTGATAAACTGGTAGCTATACAACAGCCTACCATAATTCCCCGCAGCATTGCTGCTAGGGAAAGTCATAATATTTTCCACCAAAATGCTAAAGGATTGGCTCAGGAATTTAATATTCCCATACATGAAGCTCGTGCTATCATTAAGACGTGTTCCGTCTGTAGCTATCCTCAAGGAGGAGTAGGATTAAGTATGGGAGTTAACCCCAAGGGATTAGATTCAAATCAAATATGGCAAATGGATATTACCCATATACCCCATTTTGGAAGGCTAAAATATGTTCATGTTACTATTGATACCTATAGTCATTACATTTGGGCAACTGCTCAAACAGGCGAAAAGGCAATACATGTCGAAAAACATTTGAATAGCTGTATAGCAATAATGGGAGTTCCCAAAGAAATTAAGACTGACAATGGCCCAGCATATATCAGTGAACGCATACAAAAATATATGCTGTTTTGGGGCATCAAACATACTAAGGGTATCCCCCATAACCCAACCGGCCAAGCAGTAGTAGAGAGGGCAAACAACACCCTCAAAACATATGTTACCAAATACTCTGATCTTGTAACTCCCTCGGAAAAGTTATTACGAGCTTTATTTGTGTTAAATCATCTCTGTATTTTTGGAGAAGAAAAATTGCCTCCAGTAATTAAGCATTTCCAAAAGGAACCGACCCCTGTGCCACCTATTTATGTCCAATATAAAGATCCAACGACAGGTTTATGGCAACCCCCAGCCCAAGTACTGTATTGGGGGAGGGGCTATGTTTGTGTTTCTGCCCCAACAGGACCTAAGTGGATTCCTGCCCGATGGACTCGAGCTACTCAACCGAATGAACAGCCCAGAACTTCGCCGTCGTCATCGCCTGCAGTTAACCCTGCGCCCGTTGTTGGAACCGCTTGAGAGACGTTTTGGAGTCCGCCTATCCTATTCGACACAGGAAGAGGCAGGACTCCATCTGCTTTGGGAACTTAATAGAATACTTGACCAAGTTTTATCTCCTACTCATTATTGTTTAGCGTGTTTGCAAGATCACAAGGCTTGGGTTAAAATTAAGTGTGGTAATTGTCATCAAAAGGTTTGGGTGTCCCAAGGTCAATTCCAGTCATGGGGTGCTTGTGTAAATTGTACCTGGAATCCTCTCCGTTATAACGATCCTTATAGAGCGCTATTGGCTGAAGCTGGTATAACTCCTCCCACGAATTTTCCCCCAAATCCCCCATTAACGTATCCGTTAGTGGAAAATCGAGAAGATTGGGAGCTACGATACTTAAAATATCAGGTTCAAGAAATTCTCTACCAGATTCAAACCGCTCTAGCCACAGTATCTCTAGAAATCAAGTGTGGCAAGGATGTGGGTATTCCACTCCTGTGGCAGGTTAAACCTGAGGATTGGGATCGTACTTGCCGCCGTTTTCGGCCTCAACACAGGAACTTGGGACACTCTAAACAAAATAGAAGAACGAAAAAACATGTGGGTCACTTGGGCTGAAAAAGTTAATCAGAGCAGTATATGTCTTGCTTTAGCTAAAGCTTCTGATCCCTTTAGAACTTGCTTGGTAGGAGTCCCAACCAATTATCCTTATACCTTCTCCCGATACAAGAATGTTTCTGAAATCCAAGAGTTTAACCTGCTTGGCTCTGCGCCTGCACAAAACTGCTTTAAATTTGAAAGTCTCCCTACCCAATACCGACCAGTTAATGTTTCCTCACACAGACCCTATAACGAGACCGCTTATTGTCAGCACATTCAACATAAATATGTTGTTACCTCCCGTACAGGTCATCTGCCTGATGGATATTTTCTTATCTGTGGTGATAGAGCATGGCAAGGAATCCCCAGAAGTCCGGTAGGAGGACCATGTTATATAGGTCACTTAACAATGTTTGCACCTGATATCATGACAGTTCTTAAAGCCAAAAATATTCATATACGCCACAAAAGAGCAACCACACAGTTAAGCCCAGACTGTCGGGATACCGTCACACTTTGGGATCGTCCCGAGATTATTTTAGCTAGCATTTTTGCTCCTGGTGTAGCATCTGCGCGAGCCCTCACTCAATTAAGTAGATTGGCTTGTTGGACAGGGAAACAAATAAATATCACCACAAGTATTTTGTCAGATCTAGCTACGGACCTAGAAGGAGTCCGACATGCAGTCCTCCAGAACCGAGCTGCTATAGATTTTTTACTCCTAGCACAAGGTCATGGGTGTGATGAATTTGAAGGTATGTGCTGCATGAATCTTTCAGACCACTCTAACTCCATTCACAAACAATTAGCACACTTAAAAGACAATATGCGAAAATTACAGGAAACAAGTGATCCTTTCACAAACTGGTTAGCGTCCTTTGGATTATCTCCTTGGTTAATCACTTTGATAGAAAAACTTGCTTTGGTGCTGGCTATAATTTTGCTCGCAATTTTGCTTTTACCGTGTATCATGCAGTGTTTGCAAAAAATGATATCGAATGCTTTTAATCATAAAATGGCTATGCTTGCTACTAAAGAAAACGGGGGAAGTGTAGAGAGCCTGACAGCAGAATGGCTGCAGGACAAAGGCCACGAAACTGTGCAACTAGTCAAGATCTAGGCCGAAGAACACAGCAGCAACTGTGTGGTCAATGGTTGCTCAAGGACAGGATGTATGCTTGCTGAGATAGCGCAACGGTAACGCTTGAGCAAGAGTGAAACATATTGAAACAAGAAGCGGTCGCGGTTATTTAGAAACCCCTGTGTTAGCACAAACTAACCAATGATTTTATTGTACCCTAGCAGAAATTGTATCTAACACTGAGACTATAAAAATG